GGAAACTCTGTGATAATTACTTATGCAATGCATTCATTTAAAACAGATATGGCTTAATGAATTGGCCCGAGTTTCAATCCTGGTTGTGGGGTGCCATCTACGTTTAGTTCTCCCCATGTTTGTGTGGGTTTCTTTTGGGTGCTCCCATTCCAGCTGAAACTCACCAGGTTCTTCCTCTGCTCTGGGATGGTGCTGATATCGACCGGGTTCCTCTCAACGGCGTTAACAAAACGAGCCTCTGGCACCGCTATGGCACAGATAACATGCACCCACCTAGGAAAAGGAACATGATGAAGGCACACCGTACCGCAGCCAACACAAATGCAGTCTTCATGACGAGTATTTGGTCATACATCCCACTTCAGTAGGAAGACAAAAGTGTGCCCCCAGTTTAACTTAATGAGCACGTTCTTTAATGGGTAGCTCAAAATTAAACAGCAAACCAAAAGCAAACAAAACTTCATCACCAGTGCAACTGCCACACAGCAGACGGAAGGGGCCTCTGGCCCCTACAGAGAGAAATCCTACATTTTGAACTTGCTATTTACCTTGATTGCTCGAACCCGACCAGATGTACTATCTAAGATGAATAATGGGACATGAATGCCTATATTTCCACAGAATTCATTAAAAAAAGAGCACAACTAATGTTTATCACAATAAATCTTAAAAAAGAGGGCTCAGAGACAGCTCAAATGATGAAGGCCTCCACATGCTTATGACACAGCACAGCTGGGGTTGGCTGGAAATAGAGTCAGGTAAGGTTTGCCACAGCTTTCCACACCACAATAAACCCTGGGGCTGGAGAGTCGCTGAAAAGCTTGAGGTTCTGTCAGGTTCTACTGCCAGGCTTTCAGAGTGAGGAAGATGACACTCGGTGCCTGCTCTGAGTGGATGCTGGCAACATGGGTCTCCTCTTTAATTGCACATTCCAAAACTTTAAAGAAGTGGGCAGAATCCAGTAAAACCACATTGTGGCTGACAGGCTGCATTGTGCAAACAGGTGTGGGTATTTCGTACAGTAGGGTTGTTTTAAGGCAAGAGAAACCACCTTCTATCTGTGCAGGGTCATCCTTGGCCCAAGTCCTGCACCAACCATCACATCTCCTGGACACTGAGAAGAACCCACATGAACAGGAACACATACCTCTTGTCTGTGGTCATCTGGAGGGCTCCTCCTCTTAAATTGCACAAGCAACAGTCCTGTACAGAAACACACACAAATCATTAGGGAAGGAAAAACAACAAGATCGGCATTTTGAACTGCAGTTTCCTGCACATTTACAAAGAAAAGAAAATCTGAAAAAATGAACAGCACTAATTAACAGTTTACCAGCGATAACCAGCTTTAAGAAAGGCACTGCAAACAAAAGCAAACTGTTTTTAGGCTTCCAGGAAATGAAAGGTTTTAATTAACGGCAGTCCCAGATTATTGTCATCATTTTGTTAATATGGCACAGCATTAGCTACACCCTGATATGAAACTGAGAAGAGGCTGGGAGAAGATTCATGTTCCCAAGCACTCACCACTGTCCAGGCATTGGCTGTGCAGCGTGAACAAGTCCAGCCCTCCTTCACGTGGTCTGGCCTGACTCCATAGCAACCTATAGAGAGAGAAGCAGTTCATCACGCAGCCCAGACTCAGACAGGACCTCATGCTCTTTAAACCTCACGCTGGCGGCAAGTCAACACAGCTACTCAAGTGGCTCAGGAGGTAGAGCCTACAAACTGCATGAAGCAGTAGGCAGGATTCAGGACTACAAGCCTGAGGGTTTGGGGTTCGAATCCCATGTGGGACGCTGATGTGCCCTTGATCAAATTAGTTCACTCAAACCAGAAATCACTCTGCTGTATAAATGAGTCTCCATATATGTTTTATATGTTTCCAAGATATCGAAAAACAATACTGGGCCCTTTAGCCCCGAGACTGCCTTTAAATCTTTAAATTAAAGCAGCAGTTGCCTGTGACTGCCTGATGCCCAAATTGACCAAAAATATAATGAAATCAGATATCACTGAGGGCTGTATGAAGGAACAAGCATATACATTTCACGTATCAAACAGGTGGCATTAGAAGAAGGAAAACTGTAAAATCCATAATATTTACTCCACTAAAATAAAGAGCAGCAAATCACTCTGACTAGCCAAAATACCACAATGAATGGCAGCCAAATCTAAGGATTTTATAATATATGAAGAATAATGACAAATCTTCGACAAGAAAGGGGATTAAAAATGTT